GTGCAGCAGCCAGTGCAGCAGGCGGTGTGTACAAATCGCAGGGACGTATTAAGAGCGAGAGATGACTCACACTTACCAGGAATTCCTCGTTCAAAGGAAATAATTGCAATTCCCTATCCCGATCACGGAATCTTTTCAACAGTTTGACAGTGACCCTACGGCCATGGAACACGTTGCAGACTCCAGTGTAGCAGCCCCGAACATCTAAGGGCATCACAGGACCTGTTATTGCGCACTTTCGTGCGGCTCGATACCGCCAATTCCTCTAAGAACACCTGCGAACGAAATTATTCGCGGTGTATTAAGTAGGGGTGCGTCTCGCTCGTTATCGGAATAAACCAGACAAATCGCTCCACCAACTAAGAACGGCCATGCACCACCAACCACCGAATCAAGAAAGAGCTCTCAGTCTGTCAATCCTTACCAGTGTCCCGGGTGAGTTTTCCCGCGTTGAGTCCAAATTAAGCCGTAGGCTCCACTCCTGGTGGTGCGATTCCGTCAATTCCTTTAAGTTTCAGCTTTGCAACCATACTACCCCCGGAACCGGAAGTCTTTCGTTTCCGGGAAGCTCCCCGGCAAGGCGGTAAAACCACCACCGGATCGCTAGATGGTATCGTTTACGGTCAGAACTACGGCGGTATCTAATCGCCTTCGAACCTCTGACTTTCGTTCTTGATTAATGAAGACATTCTTGGCAAATGCTTTCGCTTTAGTTCGTCACGCTACGGTCCATGAATTTCACCTCTCGCGTAGCGGTACGCATGCCCCCGTTGGTCCCTCTTAATCATTAATCCAATTCCGAAACCAACAGTAAGGAACCGAAGTCCTTTTCCATTATTCCATGCAAAAACATTCAAGCGAAACGCTTGTTTTGAGCACTCTGATTTATTCAGAGTAACTCTCGCCGGAGAATCGACGAATTTAACACAGGATCCAGCATCACATAAAGGTGAACCGTATCCAAAGGCTCAGATCCAACTACGAGCTTTTTAACCGCAGCAATAATGACATACACTTTGGGAGTTGGAATTACCGCGGTTGCTGGCACCAGACTGCTGGCACCAGACTGCTGGCACCAGACTGCTGGCACCAGACTGCTGGCACCAGACTGCTGGCACCAGACTGCTGGCACCAGACTGCTGGCACCAGACTGCTGGCACCAGACTGCTGGCACCAGACTGCTGGCACCAGACTGCTGGCACCAGCCTTGCCCTCTCATTGAGGGAGCAGTCTCGTTAGTTGGGAGCAGTTCCCAGAGGGAGCAGTCTCGTTAGTTGTTGTCACTACCTCCTCGAATTGAGAGTGGGTAATTTGCGCGCCTGCTGCCTTCCTTAGATGTGGTTGATAGATGATCGTCCACCGGATCGCTAGATGGTATCGTTTACGGTCAGAACTACAGCGGTATCTAATCGCCTTCGAACCTCTGACTTTCGTTCTTGATTAATGAAGACATTCTTGGCAAATGCTTTCGCTTTAGTTCGTCACGCTACGGATTAATGAAGACGAAATTATTCGCGGTGTATTAAGTAGGGGGTGCATCTCGTCTCGCATTGCCCGCTGCTCAATTTTAAGCACGAAAAAACTATCTATAAATATTTGTATCAAATTTTACAGGCTCTTTGCATGTCACTAATCGGTCACACTCAATCTTGCACGATCATTTTATTCTTCCAACGCTTGGAGTTCATTTTGCCGAACAGCGATTTTTTCAAATTCTCTAACAAGTTCGTTTTTTGCTAAACTTTTCAACAATTTCCTAGAGTTCGCTATTTTCTTGTTTTTTGTGCTCAAATTTCTCCATATATTTATACGATCATTTTATTCAAATTCGTTGCGCCGAATCCAGATCTTTTCACGACAAAACAATACTATATTCAAGTAGGAATCTCTTTTTTTAGTATTCTTTGTATATTCTTTGTATATTCTTTGATTTCTTTTCAGAATTATCCCGAATTAATTCTTTTTATTCAATCCGATCGTTTTTATGGCTTTCCCCCCAATACAATTCAACCAGCGATTATCAATATTTTGGTTTTTCTTGGATTCAGCTTTGTCATCATGAATGGTTTGTCTAGTCATTGATTTAGCCTCTAAATATACGATAACTTTCTACTATTGGGTTGTCCAGTTATGAATGCGCGTTTTTTACCATTTTTAAAATTTCTCAAGATACCGAAATCAAGAAAAAGATATATATGAGTATTATTCGAAAGCTGAAGATCTCCTCTACATTTTGATATAAAAAGCTTTTGAATTTGTCCAGCTTTTGGGAAAATTGACTGCACAGAAGAAGAGGTGGCCAAAAAATGGATGGGTGCTTTTGGATCAAGTTTTGGCTCCTCTCAAATTGAGTTAACCGTTTGCTGTTTGGCCAATAGATATATTAATACAACTTTTTTAAAGATATAACAATTTCAGAGCATCTTTACTTTTATTTTCTTTTCTGGGCGGTTATTTTACACCATAAAACTTGAGGAATAGCTAAGCTGAAATGGGTTTTTTCGAAAACGACCTCTCCCTTTGTGCAATCAATTTGCCCAAAAGCTGAACAAATTCAAAAACTTTTATATCAAAATGTAGAGGAGACCTTCAGCTTTCGAATGATATATAACACTCAAATACATGCTGTTCGATATCTTGTGAAACTTACAAAATCAGTAAAAACGCGCATTCATAACTGGACAACCCAATATAATGAATAATAAATATCTCTCTTCCAGCTATCGCCATCTACAGTTTTTCGCTCACTAAAATTGCAAAGAGAAAAGCCTCTCACAGCGACTCATTGCTGAGTCAACGAGAAGCTTTTTAAAAGCATTGATTATTCAGGTTTATTTACAAGATTGTAACTATTTCATACAAATAGTATCAAAGTATCAAATAATATAAAGTATCAAAATAGTATCAAAGGATCAAATATCTAGTTACTTACAAGTTTACTGTATACAGTAAATGGCAAAGAATTAACCTTAACTACCGATTTCAGGTACTAATCCCAATGATCACTATCGTAATCCCGTACTATATTGGATTTATAGCTGTCTTCTATAAAAATACGGGTTATACAAGTAAGTAAAGTGCTTAGTTTATTTACAAGTAAGTACAGGTTATACAAGTAAGTAAAGTGCTTAGTAAAGCTTCATATAGTTTACTTCTTCTATAGTTTTGTCGATTGAAAACTTCATCCTTGAGTACCGTAGAGCCTAGACTTTAACTTTTTATCAAATTTCATCAAATTTGAAACCAATTCCAGAATTCTGCTCACTCATCACCTTTTTGTCGCTCAACACGGCAGCCAACACGATCAACACGCTTATCCTTGTATACACCGTATCGAGAAAATTCTAAACGAATAATTCTCGATTTTGCGATGTTACAAGCTTCGGAAAAGTGGTGAGCCAATTGTTAGAGTTGTTAGACGTCAACTAATACCTTTCAAGCCACAAAACCGATCCACAAATCCACCCTCCATTGCTCCACTCACTTCAACAATTCGACCAAATAGCAGCCGATCAATGAGATCACCATTGCAAAATTGAATCCCCAGTTCAAAGTCTGAAGAAAGAACAGAAGAACAAAAGAAGAACCAAAGAAAAACAAAAGAACATTGAAAAAGAAAAATGAAAAAGCAATAAAAGAAAAGTAATTGACGATACACAAATTTTCTCAATTTTCCCACTTAATTTTGCTGATTCTCCTCCGAATTTTCTTTCGATATTCTAGAAATTCACAAAATTCTTCTCAACAATAACTTCCGTTGTATTAATAAATAAAAGAAAACTTAAAAGGGTTTCATCATTTACAAATAGTAAAGAGTTGGCAATCGAAAACTTTGCTGTCACAGGCTCAGGCTCTGGCTCAGGCTCTGGCTCAGGCTCTGGCTCAGGCTCGGGCTTGGGCCTAGCTTCAAGCTATGCCTCAGGCTCTGGTTAAGGCCATGTCTCCAGTTATGGCTCGAGGCTCAGGTGAGCTCAGGCTCAGACAGCTCAGGCTCAGGCTATAGCTTAGATTCAGGCTATGGCTCAAGCTCAGGCAGCTCAGGCCCAAGCCCAACCCTAAAAAGCCATTCTTCTGTTCAATTTTTTGTTTCACGTTCACTTGTTGATCAAATTATTGTCTGATTATTGTAATTTCATATAGTTGCAATGCTAAATAAGTATGCTTTAATTCTAAAGGTTCGCAATTAAAGCAAAAAAGCGGACACATTTACAGATCCCCCTAACCAAACTTTTTAAACTTTCAACTTTGAATGATTTTAACTACACTGTCACACCAGGTTACCAGCTTATATTTATTATACAGTGCGTTTCAAATTCCTTAAACGCACCCTCTAAAAATAACGAATTTTGCATTTGACCACCTCTACAACTATTAATCTTTTTCTATTAGAAAGAGCATGTCTTAAAACCTAAATAACAAAAAATAAGCGATACTGTAAAAACAAAAATTTTTCAAAATAGAAACTTTTGCGTAAATCAACCGTTTCAAATTCTTAAACGCACCCGCACTTTGCTGTTGTTATTTGAAATTTTTCGTTTTGTTGTGCATATTTTTTTATTAAATTTATAATTTTTGTTAATTTCCAGATAAATGGCACACGGAAAGCTGCTCACGGATTATGAGAAAAGGCCAGATTGATGCCCGTTTGAGGATTGGCGACTCAATAAGGAAAATCGCAAAAAATTTGAGCCGATCCGACTCTGTCGTGCGAAATTATATAAAGTTCGGAGTTCGTTTCTGCACCAATGAAGAAGCCAGGACCAAAACCAAAGCTTACACCGCGAGCTAGACGCCATATTGTGAACAACATCCACGGAAAAACGATCAATGAAGTGAAAACGCAACGGAAAATCGACTCTTCGAGAGTCGACAATTTGGCGAGCCATCAGGAAAAACGCACATATCGATCGACAATTGTTGAACATCCAACCGATTGTGAAGCTTTTGCACAAAAAGCCCGATTGGCCTTCGCCAAGACTCATATGAATCAGAATTGGTCTATGGTTGGAAAGCCGCTTATGTTTTATACTTTTTGCGTTTAGGTGATCTTTTCCGATGAGAAGAAATGGAATTTGGATGGCCCCGATGGCGTTGGCTACTATTGGAGGGATCTTCGACGTGATCCGATGGTGTTTGGAACTCGAAACTTTGGCGGTGGTCCTGTGATGGTTTGGGCCGCCTTTTGTGCTGATGGAACGGTCGCTCTGAAGATGGTTTCGAATCGGATGACGAGATAGACATCTTGAACAATTGCTTGTCGCCGTTTTCGCTCCTAAATCAAGCCGTTTCCCGATTTGTTTCAATACGACAACGCGTCAGTTCATCGAGCCGGGAGATACCCAAGACTGGTTGAAAAAGCAACAACATTGCAACTTTGGACTGGCCCGCTCAGTCTCCTGACCTCAATCCGATAGAAAATTTCATGGGGAATACTTGTCCGAGATGTCTACAAGAATCATCGTCAGTTTCTCAAGACGTTTCTATACTTAAAACAGCAATTTTTTTGGCCTGGCTCAAGTAATTAATCGTTCTGGTGCGTGTACAGATTATTATTTTTGATTTGTAACCTTTGATTTTATATTTGTGTCGATAAACAACAATATTTTCGATAGTGCGTTTAAGAATTTGAAACAGTTGATTTAGCAAAAAGTATCTATTTTGAAAATTTTTGTTTTTACAGTATGCTTATTTTTCGTGTTATTTAGGTTTTAAGACATGCTCTTTCTAATAGAAAAGATTATTAGTTGTAGAGGTGGTCGAAATGCAAAATTCGCTATTTTAGAGGGTGCGTTTAGACTGAAACGCA